ATTGAAATTTTCTATTGTTGTTCTTATTTTAGCAATTACAGATTATGTTGATAATAGTTTTGGTTAATTAGCCACATATCCAGCATTTATGCCCAAATTTACATGCACTCCTACCAGATATGAGTACAGATATGCCAAGATGAACGTGATGAATAACAAAACCGTCCATGAATTTGTGTGCGACCATAAGCATCTTTAATGAGCAACAACCAAAGTGAGAAAAGTGAAGCAACTGAATATATGGAGGTGATGGAAAGTTAATTAACAGATAATTCGCGGGATTAACACATAAGTGCTAGTAAGTTATCACGTTACTTCTTTATATGAAGAAAAATACTTATTAGTTAATTAACAATGTAATAAGCAGCAATTAGCACACAGATAACGAGTAAGTAAGCCACAAACTAACGACAAACTAACTTATCAACTAACAGTGTACTTAATTACTAATTGATAAGTGCTTAATCAATTACTAAGTAATAGCTAATGCTTAATGAAGAGTTAACTAATAACTAAATAATGGGAAACTAATAGTTGATTATTATATATTTAATGATTGATTAGCGACCCTAAATGTAAAGTGTTACCACAAAAAAAATATTGTCCAAAAAACAACAACCTTACAAGATAAAGCAAAAACATTATTATTTACTTTTAATGGAGGTTAATGTAAAGAGATTTTATTCCAAGTAATTGTCTGAGCATTTCATCCATTCATCATGACTTTTACTGTAAGTTTTTTTTTTTTCTTTTTCTTTTTTAACTGTGATGTTACAGAAATATATTTCCTTAGCAGATCGGGGACTTTACTGTGGATTACCTGTAAATACAGCAAATCCTAGAAGCACCTCATTTTGAAAGGAAGACTATGCGCTAATTAAATACGCTCCTTCTCCATTCCCTGCAAATGCAAAATGTAGTGCAAGCTTCCATCTTCCCAGAAACCACTTAAAGAGCAAGTCTGAGTGTGTGTGCTTAGAAACATGACAACGCCCTTTCCTACATGGATCTCAGCAAACACCCTCAAATTGCTCTTTGGGCTTTTAGGGATTGTTAGAAATTGGGATGAGAGATGTGATTATTTTTTCTTGTTTTTTCTCACTATTCAGACAATATTCTTAAGACTTATTATTCAGAACAGGTATGACAAACATGACCATGTAGGGGTAAACACAAATAGGCAGCCTAAAATACAACTTCAGCGCATTCACACACACTACAGAATGTATAACACAGCACATTACACAACAATAAATTCCTTAAGTAACTACAATAAAATATTTGATAATCACTATTAAACTATTAGTACGTTATGAGGAAAAGTGCCACCCTTTACTTATTTAATTTTTTCCAGTTGGAATGGCCATTATGTACAAGTTATTCATTTTTCAGAAGAAATTAGTGAGAAGATTAGACATGAAATAATCTATTGTATAATCCAATCACATAAAGAAGAGGGAAAATTTGAAGAAAATACGTAAAAACAGGAGTTTCCAAAATGGGAGTTCGATCAATTATTGAAAGAAACAGAGAAAACGGGATGCCTAACAACAGTGCAAGATCTGGTAGACCAACAAAACTGTCACCATCAGATAGACAGTGCTTGAAGCTTTCATCTTTGAGAGAGAGGAGAAAATCAAGCTCCACTTTTTTTCAGATCTGAAAAAGTCCACAGGTGTTTCTGTCCATCCTTCCACTGTGAGAAGATAACTCAACACAATGAGTCTGAAAGGATGTATAGCTGTCAAAAAACCAATACTTAGAAAAAGAAATAGACAAAAAAAGAACAATTGCAAATCAAACAAAAAAAGCCTCTGGTGTTCAATGGGCTGAACACCCCAGAGTCCAGACCTCAACATCACTGAATGTGTTTGGGTTGCTTGGATTATGAGAAACAGAAAAGGCAACCAACTCCTAAGACTGAACTTCGGATGTGTGGAAAAATATCCCTGCAAATTTCTTCGAAAAACTGAAAAGCAAGGCTCCTGAAAAGATTAGAAGCTGCAATAAAGGCAAAGAGTGGACACAATAAATACTGAAAAATTATATATTTAGTTGTTGAGGCTTCAGTGTCATTTTCTCTTGCATATGTTTTCTGCTTTTTTCCCGGTGCTGAAAAATGAATAACTCGTACTGAATGACTAGAACTTAAATAAATAAGAGCAACCTCTGACTTTTACACAGCACAGCAGTTCTGAGAGAGGGGAAATGAAGTGTAGGTCTACACACAGACCCTTGTAGTTGATAAGATTTTATCTGAGTAAACTCTCTCTGACCTTATTCTGATTCTGACTGTCAGAGAAACACTGAAAGGTTCTACTAAATATAGTTTAATGCAAGTTGCTTAATTCATACATTTTTTGATATCAGTTTAAAGACAGCAAAAGTTAAAAAAGAGAAAATGAGAGGGAGTAGTGACAAAGGAGGATGGACAGGGGGGTCAGCATGAGGGAATGCTTTGTCCAAAGGTCAAGGGTCACACAGCAGGGACTACTGCTCAAACTAAAAACAGAGGTAAAAGAGAGACGGCAGGACTCACTTCTCATTAGTGATGTGCTGAAATACACCTTCTGGCATTCAGACGTCAAGCAGAATGGTTGCACAGAGAGAAGAGAGAGTGAGAGATAGTCTAAAGCAATTAAACCCTTCGAACCATCGGAAAGACACAAGAGACTAAACTGAGGAAACTACATTAAATGATGCAGGAACATATTTGCTAATCACAGTTAAGCCGATGTTTATTTCATCGCTGTCCTAACAAAGCCCTGTATCTCTGAAATGGTAAGAAGATGGAATAACATGCTTAGCTTTAATCCCTTTTTCTCAGAAGCCATAAAATGCAATTTCCACCTGTTTTGGAGGTTTTTTAATGCTTCAGTAACATTGATGGAACATATAGTGGGGTCCAGAAATCTGAGACCACCAGTGAAAATGCTTCTATTTTCCCTTCCTTTCGAATTTATTAGAAAGATTTTCATTACAAATTCTATCATCAGCATAACAATTTGAATTAAAGGAAGCTTTGAAATTGTAACATGAGTTTCAAAATTAGTATTTTCTTTCAAAGATGAAAGCTTTAAGTGTGTCTTTTGCTTTAATGGCAGTGTGCACTAAAGCTGCCATGGACTCCACAAATTTGTGTAATAGCCACTGATGAGTAGATCAGATTCACCTGAGAGTTGTCTGAACAAAAGCTTCAATAGAAGATTTAAAACTAAAAACAAATTTGTTCTTTTTGTACAAAGGCCTCAACATGGTCAATAGGGTTGCTTCTATGTGTAGTGACCCAGAAATAGCACAGAATTTTGAATACTTCTTCTGCATTTTACTTGCAAATTGTTATAATTTTTTCAAAATTCTGCATTGTTCTGTTGTTTATATATTTATTGTTGTTTCAATGAAAAAAAAATCCCAGATTTTCAGTGTGGTCTCAGACTTCTGGACCCCATTTAGAAGCATGCTGGATTGCCATATTTTTAGGTGAGCAAGGAAGTCAACGGTTATATCTTTTTATTGTGTTGAAATGCTTTTTTTTATTGTGGCAGTTGTACACAATGTTTTATATGTGGAAAACTGCAGTTGTGCTGTCCATTTTATCTTGGCATGACCTCATTGCTCACTAGCAGCTCAACACACAGTCACAACATCTCACACATAGAGATCAGTGTTCTAGTTAATCTGATAACAGACCTGTGGGGAAAATATTTTATTTGATCATTGAAAGGAGTTTGCTAAAAAGAAGAATTTCCTGCTGCAAAGTACACCAATGTTAAAAGCATTTCCATAAATGTCTTGTTTGAAACTTCATATAATTTCTCTTAGCACAGCACATTCTCAAAATATGCCTGTACCCTTTGTCTGTGACCCACTCAGCTGCAACTTCCTTAATCTGTAAATGTATGATTCAAACCATATCCTCATCTCAGAGTTGATATTCA